TTATGTAGTTTAATACATCTATCTCAATTACAGCGGAGAAGGCGACTTTTATCGGAAACGTAACCTGCCGAGCCGTTAATTATATTTCCATGCACTATATAATCTAAAGCGAAACTTCACTTTCATTTTCCATCAAAGCGCGCGCGTACGCCGAGAGAGAGAGAGAGATAGAGTGAGAGAGAGAGAGAGAGAGAGTGAGAGAGAGAAGAGTGCGTCAGCCATTGGCGCTAGGATATTATTTGACTTTGCCAATATGTATATGTGCACGTAGACTAAGGAGGCGAAGCTAGAAAGTCCGAAAATTATAGTTCCGCACGACTACTCGTGCACGCGTCTTGACGCGCGGAATTTGATAAACAAAAAATAAAACGAAAAAAAAAAGAAATGAAAAGAAATGCATATATACGAGGAGAACACAGAGCTCAGCTCGCAAATTATCAGTTAGTTCTTTCTCTCTTTAGCGATTTTTAGATAATGTGCATATCGCGACTCCGATAATTACGCTCTAACCGCATTCACGGCCACTTTGCTTATAGCACTTCTCTCTTCTCAAACGTCCGTCATAAATCAAACCGCAAATTAGCCGTATTAACGCGAAAAAGGACAATTAATATAAATCATTATCGTCGTAGCAGGTTTTTCAAGAGCAGGTTGCATTAGCGTGCCAGGCTACCAGGTTTCCCCGGCCTCATTGACACTTTAAAGAGCTTTAAGGCGAGACCTTGATCCTGTCGAAGAAGAACATGATGATCAAATTTATTAGTCCAGCGCGGAGTCAACGAGTGCTCTCGACATTGCCACGGGCAAACTGCGAATAATACGTACGCATACGTCCGCGTCAATATTGCAAACTTGAAATTTTAATGGAAATCCAATTTTCCAACCTGCCCAATCGTAATTCGACCTCGATCGGTAGCCTCGGCTAACGCTCGATAATCCTGCCTGCAGGTACGCCTCGGCAATAAGGGAGCCGGGTTACGATGCCCCGGCTAGCGTCGAGGAGATTTACTTCCGGCCGCCCCGGCCAGTGAGCAATGGCTACTACTACCAGCAGCCGACCTACGAGGATGATGAGTCCCATTACACGGCCCCGGTGCCCCTCTACACTCGCCTCTCTGGTAAGTCGTGTGTCTAGATACTCCCGGAGACGCTCCTCTTCTTGCGCATAAACCTCCAAGCATAGACAGCCGTAGGCCCGACGTCGGCTCTCCGTCGTCTGTTTCCGTGGGCGATGAGACGCGTTCAAGGACGCGAGCGATCGAGGCTCTCGCTTATTTCTCCGTTATTCTCTCAAGGCGAAGATTTCGCCAAGAGCTGATGAATAGTATTCCCCGGTTGGGCCGTCGAGTTTGCGCGTTCGTCGATCGCGGAGGATCGTCCATACTCCGGATGCGCATCGGGACAATTAGCAGCGGCTCGTCGTCACTCATTGCCATTGCCGTTGGCTTTCCCAACTAACGCGCGAGCCTTAACTTTACATCCACGATGTTTGCGCGAAAGCGGTGGATCAAGATCGAATCCCCATAATCGCCAGTCAATAAACACGATTCGCAAGTTCGAGTCGAAATGTCGCAAACGAGTTCGGGCGATAAGAGCATGTTTGGTACAGATGGGCAAGGACGGGCAAGGCTCGCGCTAATAATACCGCTCGCCCTCGTTGCTCTTCCATTCGCTTCGGAATTTCTAAAATCCATCGAATCAGTAATTGGCGATCGATTTAAAAGAAAAGCCCAATCTCTCATTGAGATCCTTAAATAATCGCTTATTAGAAATCATAGGCTACGCAATGCGATGATAATTGCACCTCAGTCGTTGCACCCGAACCTCGCACATTTTCCTCTTGATTATTTATACAGCTCGAGCGTCGATCGCTCCGCCCTCGCGCACTTTTCCCACCCGACGTGAGTTCACTTTCGTCCGTAGAACGGAAGCGAGGAGGAGAAGGAGGCGAAAAGGGAAGTCGCGACGCCAGCTCGTCTGGCCTCTTCCACCTAGTGGGTTTCTCACCGAGAGCGGCCCCTCGGCCAACTAGACCGAATAATGGCGTTCTACTTGGATCGGTCGCGAGGCCGTGTGCTCTTCCTCCTCTTCCTCCTCCTCCTCCTCCTCCTCCTCCTCCCGACGACGACGACGACGACGACGACGACGACGACGACGACGACGACGACGACGACGACGACGACGACGACGACGACGACGACGACGACGACGACGACGACGACGACGACGACGACGACGACGACGACGACGACGACGACGACGACGACGACGACGACGACGACGACGACGACGACGACGACGGCGACGGCGACGACTCGACGAGCTTCAGACGATAGCCGATGCATAATGCTTGCGTGAATCCCTAATGGCATACTTATTGGCTGAGGTACGAGTGTTTGAATAATGGAAATTCGGGCGTCCATTGGATGCGGTGGGCCATCGATAATTCCCGGGGATGTTTGCTGGGAGTCGGGTTCGAGTTTCTTGAGGGGAAATGGCGTCGCTGTGGATGCCTCGTCGAAACTTCTATCTTCGCTGCGCACTAGGTAGTTTGTCATTACGATACTTTGCAATTGTTGGCAATGGCATTGTTGCACAAAAATCCATTTGGATGCCATAAGTAAGCGAGATCATCGTAGCGTGCGGTCGTAGATGTCGAGAATCGAGGTCGTAATCGATGCGTAGGAAAGCGAGAGAAGCCGTCATCGGATGACGCGGCGAGGGATATAATAAGCGATTGATTAGCTCGGAAAGCATTCGAGGAAGGAGGAGAAATTGCGTGCGACTTGTCGTGCGAGCCTAGCACGTGCGTAATAAGCTCAATGAGAAATAGAAATATGGAGAAGGCGTGGCTTCGTTTCACCGAGGACCGATCGTCATTTTTGCACGGTGCGCGGCGGCGTATGCTAATTGCGCGTTGTTAACGATTGGAGTGAGACAGCCGGAGCCACGAGGATGCCGTTCCCTCGGAAGCGTTGCCACCAGCTAGACGCAGTTGGCATTTGTAAATAAACAAAGTGTCCATTGTTTCGCGCCGCTTGTTTTCGCGCCGCTGGAGAGCAAAAAAAGAAATTGCATAGGCTTCTTCACGGGAGGACGTCAACGCGGTGGGGATCGCGGAAGAGGCGATAAAGATGAGAAGAAAGCAAACTTCGCAGCTTATGGGAAAGTGGAACGCGCGTTTTTTTTTATTTTATTTTATTTTTTTTATCTTTTCATTTTTTATTTTGTATTAAACCGGTCGAAAAATCGAATTCGGCTCGTGTATTTCGCCTTCGGGGTTTCATATATTTTGTTCGGCTAAAAATACACGGATAATTAATTATCTAAGCGCCGAGATTACGGATTTCGCGAAACGTCACGTATGAGTAAAAAACAGGGTAAGGTATAGAGTAAGGAGGTGCAATCCATGGGATATCCATTTAAGTTTTAATACTTTGTTGTAGATGGGCATTTGTTCGTTCGTTAATTGTTAATTCACAAGTTATAAGTATTGATGTTTGTATGGAAATGTGAAATCAAACTTCCGATCTGAAATCAAAATATTTCAGTGGGCAAATATTTAAAAGATTCTATACATTCTATAAACGATAATTATTGTGATGTGAATATTTATTGAGCGTTATTTTTAACGAACGACATAGGCTACGTAAAATTGTATCGAATGAATTCTAATTTGACAAGACTTTGAAAAGCTGTACATTTATTCAGCCGTCTAGGTGTAATTGCAATTTGATTAACATTTTACGAAATCGAACGACATGGTAATATTTATTTTAGAATATTTTAAAAAGCCACTGCAGTGTTACGATTAATTCGGTATATATTTATTCATGAATTATTAATATTTTAATCGATTATTCAAAAAAAAAAAAAAAAAAAAAAAAAAAAAAAAAAAATTTATATCTAAGTTTACGTGTATATATATATATATATATATATATATATATATATATATATAGAAAAGACGTATATATTTTCATAGAGATTTTTTTGTTACATAAATTGATGTCGAAACGTTGCTGATGAAATTTGAAAAATAAAAAAAAAAATGACTCTCCCATCGGAGTTTAATGTTTAATTATCGATTTTTTTAATACTCCACAGTCTTAGTTGCACCAATATTTCGCTGTACCCACTGATAATATATTGAAATCGGATGTGATTATAATGAGTAAAGAAGAAGTTTAATGATAAACAATCGATGATATTTCAAACAACTGGAAATATGAATTTGTTATCTATTATGGAATACGTAGAATGATTGTTTTATTTACAACTCGAATTGCCAGCGTCGGTATTAGTATTAGAAAAATAAATGCTCTAATACTAATACTAACATCAGGTTAAACAAGTATAATTTAATTAGAAATATTTTCTAGCTCAGTGCAAGCTTTCCTTGATGTATAATCTCGTAGTAAGTAATTCATATCCAAGTAGTTGGCTATAATTTTATATATTTTTAGAAAATGTTATTCATAATTCATGAAAACATATTAATAACTATCTACTGACTTGTATTATTTTTTCTCTCTTCATCTAAATATGTAAATTCGTGTCTTAATTGTCGACAACATCAGACTTTAAAATCTACAAATACTTCTATTTTTAAGTCAACGTGTAGAGAGAGGATTTTAGAAATCTGACATTTTATTCTGAAATTATAATGGTAATTTACATTGGATCGAAGCGATTATTCATTGCAATAGATATAGAAATTATTTTCATGTCTTGACCAGTCGTTTTTTCATTTGCTCTTTTTCTATAATAATTTACACAAACGGACATTTTATGTTATAAATTTAATGGGAGCAGACGTCGTAGCCTTTAAAATTCTTTAAAATTCAATGCGTACAATCTGAGTTTCACCTTAAATTCAAATTAATTAATTAAAAAAAATGTCAATTTCTGTTGCCGTTTCTGCTCACATCCACTGAAAGACCATCTGTCTTTTCCATGTCTGACCTATTTTCGCCACGAATTGCGACGGCTGATTTCATTTACCTGGATATTACCATTACTACGTTTCAAAAAATAAAACTTAAAAATGGCCCTTAAAGTTTTGGGCGTTTCATTGTCGTCGTATTGAGTTTTCCTTGCGCGTCTCCGAAATCAATTTAAATAATTCATCAAGCCTCGGTGGTGTGTCGGAATGACTACGATCGATCGAGACTTTTTTTCGAATTCACCTGCCATCGCGGTCGACGGAACAACAAACTGATAAAAGACGCTCTTACAAATTTACGCAAATGGCATTCGCAAGTTGAGCTTTAAAGCTCTTAGACGACAATCGGGCTATGAATCGGGAGAATGAAAAATTCTTCTCGATCCTTCCAGCTCCCGTTCTTTTTATCGACAAGCTCGGGCTTCGTTATAACTCTCGAAATCTTCCGTTAACGAGTTTTCGGCATTGTTTCTTAAAGCGCTCTCGGCCCCTCCCCGCTCCCGCGAAAACGCTCGAGTGAAATCGTGAAACGAGGCCGAGTCTCGAAACTTCCCCTCGGAGATCTTCCTCCCGTCCATTTAGCATGGGGCGACTGGCGAGCCTCGCCACCTCGAGTGTCTAGGTCACGTAGCCGTGGCGCGTGCGCGTTTTCTCTTTTCTCCTCGCGGCAATCGAGTTTAACGCGCTGCCCGGACAACGCGCCATCGCCGCCTTCAAAGCTTCACAACGAGAGTATAGAGACTTGGCAGTCTCACTTTTTGTAATATACCATACGACTCGAAGGCTTTTCTTTCCTTTCTTTCTTTCTTTCCTTCTTTCTTTCTTTTTTCTTTCTTTTTCTTCTTCTTTTTCTTCTTCTTTTTCTTCTTCTTTTTCTTCTTCTTTTTTTTTTCTTTTTTTTTTCTTTTATGACGAACACGAGACGAACTCCAGTGGTCTGTCTGACTTTTTTCCTTTCGCCCCAATGGGAGCCAGATAGGTTGCCGGAACGCGAGACTGACAAGGAGATTTGGAGTCGCTGTGTAGAGCTCGGCGATAATTTACGAAATGAAATAGTCTCGAGACAGACGCCTGCCGAGTGTAACGAAGCACTTTTCTAATGAGAACGGGTTCGGCTGATTTATGTCGTCGAATTCGTGCCTTACGGTCATAACTGTCGCCGTTAAAATTTAA